AAAAAAAATTTCCTCTTTGTAGACAATCTCAATCACTAGATTAGACCTGGTCAATCTATCCTATGACCTTTACCCTGACATAGATGTACTTAGCGGCTTGCTGAAACAATAGTTATTATCATGACTAACCCCCCATAAGGAAATGTTGTGATATGACTGTCAGAGCCGCTATGGGCCATCCCTGTCTATCTAAAGGGATATAGCATATCCATGTACTAGTGCAGTATGCAGGGTCCATGTGGTCCCTGCACGACCGTTATTACAATCAACACCAAGAGCTTTGTGTTACTAGTACAACATTTTAGAGAATGGAATGGAATGTGGCTATGGAACATTCTGGTTATATGATTATGGACTGTATCATGGGTGTACAGCATGTATAGATATCAGTCCTGTCTACCTCGGTAGTACCATTGATTGTATTAATTAAGTTATTCATATCTTCAGTCTCTGATTATCATCCTCTGCTCTTCTCTGTTATCCCTAGCTAATTCATCATTCCATATCTACTCATAACCTAAGTACAACAGGAAAACCCAATCCAGTTCAGCTTACTTTCTTTCCACTAAACATGGCCATCTGTCTCCATAGGCCTGTAAATAGAAACCGCAATTAACAGTAAAGACGGATACATAAATGTAGATTAATGAAATACTGGCCCCTCGATCATACGGTTGTTTTCATGAAGAGACGTTTTTGAATCAAGTTCAAGGAGGATTACCATGGCCAGTCATTCTGAAGTCGGATGTTTGGAGATACTCCGAGGAGATGGTTTCGTGAAGCCTCGTATAGATATAGTGAGATAGGTTGGAGTCATGAGTAGATCTTACTTTAGCATATGATGGATTTTTTGCATCGAATTTGTGTGCTTAATGAAGCTGGTGCTACGATAGATTAGCTCTCCAGCTCTCCAGCTTCGCAATGTGAATACTTTGTATATTTTCTATTAGAATATGATTCCTTTAGACAGGTGATACAGTAGTACTGGAAGTAGAACTGATAAAGTGTAGGGTTAACAGAACGTGTATTTCACACGGCACGCACAGCATCAATTCATGCTGCAACTATGCTCCTACTAATGTGTCTACCAGCCTTGTCTACACGCTAATAAGGGACTAGTAATACAGGGTATATAAAATCTCCAAACGCCTTACCCTTATCCTCCAACTTTAACATTTACCACAACCCTAACTCCATTATGTTGAGGGTATAAGAATGATTATGTTTGACCAAGGCTTTTGTAATTTAACACTTTCAATGATATTATCAACTCATACTTGTGTCAACTTACTTGCAAATTACTAACTTATTTCGTATATTTTTCGTTTCTGTTACCTCAACCTCATGTCACCTGGCCAGTTTAGTCAAAGTATACCCTCTCTGAAGCGTTAACCTTGTGAACTTGCCGCCTATTCATTGCTGGGATACCTTCGGCAGACGGAGATCCTCAATTCACACACTGCACGCCGTGACAGCTGTAGAGCACATTCATTCAAGTAATTACTGAAGTGAAACAAAGTACATGATTTGTAGACATTTTTGTATCAACAGCATGGCCTAATTGCTACTCCCAACCATTCAACGTCGAAGAATTGGCGTATAAACAACGACGGGATAACGACTCCTCTTGATGTGTCCTCAAATGAAGACCTGTTGGGGTATTACTGCGGGAAAAAATTCGTGAAGAAGGCATAGATGCTCTCGGCCTATTGGCAGAAAGGACCAACGTTGATATGACAGGGTCAATCTCTACGAGATCAAAAGTATGGAGAATGGAGTTGCTACTGCTGAAGCGGTGGTTGATAAAAATGTATCTCTATAATCTACGGACGCTATCACTGTATGTATAACGGGAATACCGGGATCTGGATGATTCTGGATTAAAAGCTATATTGTGCAACAAGAGGGGAAGATTTAAAGATGGACATGGAAGGCTCTACATCCTAAGTTAGCTAAGAAATTCCTGGGACTTGTTCTCGTGACAGATGCTGCCGAACTGCTTTTATTTTTTACTTAATTATGTTAAAGTCCTAAGCTAAAGCCCTATGTCCAATATAGGTACATGACTGGTGGAGCCGACGGGGATCACTGCTTACAGGCCCAGCTCATTCCAACCGTGAGACCCGTTACAGAATATGTAGAAGATAAATTACAACTCAGAAGACACCACTTAGTCCGAGTTACGGCAGCGACGGGGAGAGGCCGGAGGGTTGGACATTCTACAAAGTTTCTGGGATGACGAGATCGGCTGAAGGATAGAGGGATGCCGTATGAAGGAAACAAAAGGGAAGACAAACTGAGGAGGCTTTGGTGGGCGACTGGATGAAGTCTCCAGTGAAGAAAATGACGCCTGGATGAGATGAGGAGATGCTGAGGTGAGCCAAAGCTGGGAATGAATGGAAGGGAAAAGTTACAGATGGCGAAGGTGTCAAGGGTTCGAGCGCGTGGTGGCCGAGGCTGAGGAGGAATTTGAGCTTCGGCGCGCCAAAAGGGGGTTCTCTGGACGGTTGGTCTTGACATGACTCAACACATGGGTGAAGTCTGAGGTGGTTCGGTCATTCAGGTGGGACGAGGCACTTGTACTTTACGGTAGTTAACCTGATCCGGCCCGGCTCCACCCGTGCTTAAGCTCCAGGAGGAGTGCAACGGTAGTCACTTTACCTAGCACGTTAATGAACAAAACTAAACAAAACCTCAATGACTGAAGGATTATTATTTCCTTAATAGGTTGTAAGCCTGGATTGCCGCTCGCGCATATACGTTGTATCGTCCGGAGTTTGATTCTATCATCGATATGGGCAAGTAGAACGGCATATGCTCTGATTGCGCCAAATTAATCCAACTATGAGGCCGTAACCTTAATGAACCCAAGACATGGCCATCGCCTTTGAGTTGTAATCTCTAAAGAAAAGTGAATGGCCGTCGCCTGAGAAGACACGAGGTTATCGCCTTCGTTAGGGAAAGCACAGGTCGAGTACTGAAGATAAGGGGTCGCTGCGAAACCCTCGTGAGGATTGATAGATCCTAAACACACCGGTAGCCAGTCCGTCGATGGACTCAGAGAGAGAGTCAAATGAGTCGACCCGAAAATTTAAAAAAAAAAATACAGTCTGACAGCTACTCTACAATAGCCGTTAATCTCAATTCCTCGACTCTCTTCCGAAGTTTGTCGAATCCGCAACCTGACAGTTCCTATCCGAAAGCTGTCGCACAAATTACGCTGCTGATTTCCGAAGCAGTTCGAACATCAACTCAGTAGCTGTTGTGGTTATGAGCTATACGGAAGTCACATTGCGGAGTGATGAGGAGTGGATGATGTTACAATTCATTGTTGACAGTGAATAGACTCATACAATATTATGCTGTAGCTTTATGGACAGAAAGTATAAGACTATTGTCATAGCTCAATAGCTGAATACAATATGAAAAAAAAGAAGTATAAGACTAAACCGGTATCCATTTATCGTGGGTACATCAATGAAACTATATACATGCTTGCCTTACTAGTACACTAGTGATGTATGCTGCGGCCTAGCCTCGACTACCTCGTTGTCTCATATCATAACACTTCTCACCCGATGCGCCATACCCGGGATCCCTTCAATTCTCTCTACTTTGCTATCCTGCCATCCTGACAACCTACAAATACGTGCTACAGGTCCACCAGCTCTGAAGCTCAACACCACGATTGAGTGGCCCGCGGGCTAGGCACTATGATCACTCGGGTCTCTTGCAGTATCCCTTCGAGACACGTCTCTCACACTCCTAGGGATTGAGATTAGCTGGCCGGTCGCAACTCTATCGATTTGCCGCGGCCAGAGGGTAATTTTCGAAGGATTTGAGGTCTGGGCGAAGGAATCTGAGATAGTGTCACTGGCGGCACACTTTTGCCTGACATGCTTTCTCGAGGTAGTGTGGGGAGTGAGGAGAGAGGTGTTTATTGGTCTATGACGGGAAAATGCTGGAGATGGGTGCATTAGACGGTCTGGGGCATTTTATCCATCTACTTCATACTGTACTGCTATAGTCCAGCTTAGCACCATCTCATACTCTTAGGGAGGCTACTTGTAGAATGTTTGACGCTGTCAAGCAACTCAGGTCGAAAATCACTACTATTACTTCAACTATTTGACCTACAGACAAGGGTCATTTATCCAGTCACCGTACACATGCAGCGATTCGCAAAGCTTTTTGTTCAAGTAACATCTCCGCTGGTGAGATACCTGCCTTGCACTGGAGGGCCATATTTGGGGTTGTGCGCCAAACTGTTAATGCCGCTCTGATTGCTAGTAAAATAGTGAGATCAATGATATTGATTTACCACCCAATACCTGTACCAACTTCTTTTCCTTGTTTAAAGGCAGATCAAGTATACTTGGATGCTAGAAGCAACTGTGTTATCTCACAATATGACGAACTTTTTTTCCTTTTGCTCTATCCTGGCAATCCAAAATTGGCCTGAACAAGTTTCTTCAATGAATGAGATAATCAAAAGGTGTTCAGAGCCGTTGCATATCCGATTCTTTGAGTTTGATGTAGTTTGACATTAGATTTAAGGAATGAATTGTGCAGTTCATCCATGCCCAACACCTTAAGCCTCTGATCAAGATGGTAGCCTACAGTATGATAGTGGCTTGTGAAGATGGTTGAAGGAATAAATATTTGGTTACTTGTTTACGAATGATGCTATTTGAAACATGTAACAGGTCAATCCAAAACCTTTCGGGTTAAATAAATTCTAGAACGGCAAGCAAAGCTAAGTTAGAAAAAAATATAGCTTCTTATCTAATTTTCTGCCAATGCACATTGCAGTTCCAAGAAAATGTCAACCAGGTGACATCAGAAGAGTTATTCTTTCATGTTAGTATATATTTAATAATCTCTATTTTAATTAAACAAAGGATCAATTCAAGAATCCACTCGAGTACAAGATTGTTCACTATTCAACAGTCTGGGGAGTCCTGACATTCATATCGGTCAAGAAAGTCGTGTAACTCACTTCATGATGTTCCTCTAACCAACAATTTATTCTCGATTTTCCCATCTATATATTTCACAATGTGTCAGCTTGACTCTCATTCAATGGAACAGTAATTGTGTAGTTATTGATGGATCTTACCTCTTAGATCTTCAATGGTATTGTTGAATGCCTTAATAATCTTCTCATATTCCAGTTCATGCTCACCAGGAGTACCGTACTTTGTGCCATTTTCCCCAAATAGTATTTCTCGGAGTTCGGATGCTAAAGCCTTAATGTCTACGAATTTAGTGGAAAATCTTTCGAGAATTAGTTCTTCAAAGGCCATGACATCTACTTTCTTTGCCAGATAGTTACTCCTGATGTCGTGAGTGTGCCACTTCTGCAGGTTGATGACCTCCATTGAATTCTTTTCGCGTTCATATGTTATGCATCCTACAATGAACACATAAAAGAATGACTCCAGATCGTGATGAAACGTGCGATTTATGGTTTCCCCACGATTTGCAGCATATTGTAGCCTCTCAAGCGCCATGAACTTCATGGTGCCAGTCAAAAATAAGTTGTCATCCTTGCCTGGAGGCGGTTTAACCATTTCGGCGTGATCCAAATCGATCAACATCCCTTGAGTTTTACCTCCCACAGTCGCTAGAATGATGTTACCGTCAGATATGTCACCATGAAGTATATTCTTTTCGACATACAGGCGGCGGTGTGCCACAATTGCGTCTCGTATGCCAACAAGAAACTCCATAATTGTCTTACTGGAACGAAGACTACGGCCACGAGGTGAAATAACTATTCTGCGAAGTTCTCGATCTCTCAACTGGGGAGTCGGAGGTACCTCGGCACCTTCAGCCTTGGAGATAAAAGGATTGCAGCCCACCATCTTCAAATATTTTGCATTACTGAAGTTGAGGTCCTTCAGATGATCACCTGTGGTACAGATTACATCTGCCATGACATACTCAACCACGCCATCTATTCCATGGGCATGTTGCAAAAAGTCGATTTCTAATTTACCTGGAGTCCTGACCCACGAGTATTTAACAACTTTACTTTTATCCAAGGTCTCAAAACAGGTAGTTCCACGAGTGACTATGGTACCCGCCATGAAAAAAGGGTTAGGGTTGATGTCAAACTTCCTTGCCTTCTTATGGTTCTCATCATGAATGGATACAGTAGAGCGTCCATTGACTTTTTGAATTGATGAGTCAATACCTAGTTCTTGATCACTCATCAAAAGGTATGAACAGATTGCTCGCACAAACTTTTCCTTATCTTCTTTGAGGGTGAATAAGCCCGAGCTGTATGCGCCCGAGCGGTTAAACACCCACAATTCAAAGTTTGATTCAAACGCGGTAAATCCATGTACAAAATGACGAAGTGGCTGTGTGTAAAACACTTGGAGAGCAAGTCTTGACAGCTGATAAAACTTTTCGTGCCTTTGGTCTGAAGAATCCTTTTTCGTAAACTCACCCAGAACTCTTACATCACTCCATTGATGGAAATTTATATGAGCATTAGAAGACCCAATTCTCTTTGTGAGGAAGTCAACCTGGTAACTGTTGTTGGTACCCTTCATCCGGCATTCTTTTGACGAGCGAAAATATTGGCAACGCAACTGGGAGCCTTCTGCCTCTTTGATGATTGTTGGAAACTTTTCCGATGGTCTGTGGAATTGATCTGTGAGCTGATTCAAAAAATTCTCACGAAAAAAATCTAGCCACTCCCACATTTCATCTTCAGTCATGTCTCCTGTCAGAATCTTGTTTTTATAGACTTTTTTCTGGATTAACACAAATTCAGCCTCTTTCGAGTTGATTTGGTTTTGAAAATTATTGGTGTTTGTTTTCCCAATATTTTGAGAACCTTCGAGAGATTCGTTTTCTGCCAAAGTTGCCGATTCCTCGTCCTCTTTTTTTGTCTGACTTCGGGTTTTTCTGAAGGATTTTGTTGTTTCTTCCTCCATCACAGTCTCTAAATTTCTGGCCATTTTGTTTTTATGACTTCGAGTAATATTACGAGTATCCGGTGAGATTCCCTCTATTCTTTCTTTTTGAACCTGGATTACCTTCTGCTTATCGTTTGAGGTTTCTCTTTGTGTCCCCGATTCAGCTTCTTTCTGGATTTTAAGTGCATCCGTTTTTTGTCTCATGATCTCATATTCTTGCCGGATCTTTATTTCTTTTAATTCATATGCTTCATAGCTTTTCCAAATATTCCATGTTTGATTGGACCAATCTTTACCCAGGAAAAGCTCCGTCCAGAAATTGTCCAAATCCACAATTACATTTTTATAAAGTTCATTCCTTAATGCTGCGGTCATAGAGGTGACATTTTTGTTGAAACCCTTTGCCTCTGAAACACTTCGGGTGAATGTAAATGGACCGTGTGTGGGTGTCAACTGTGATAGATCACTGCGTTCACTGCGTTGATTGTCACTTGGCTTATCTGCTAATCCTTGCGCAAGTTCAATTGCAATTTTGAATACTTCAACTTCATCTTGGTATTTTAAGATAGCTTGGACGAGAGATTCAAGTTCTTTGAGTTGATATCCATGGTCCGAAATATCCGCGGAGATTCTCGAAAAATTATTGGCTATTTTTCTAAGTTCATTTTTTGGTCTGATACGTAGTATATGAGTAGCTAATGTACTAAATAGTATCGCGACATCTAATATGTTAGCTTCCGTTCCCTTGCTTATTCAGTGAAAATTACCATCTTGAGCGCTCTCCTCTGTGTAATCGTTTCGGAATGTTGTTAGGATAGCTTCGATTGGATTCGCAATGAGATGAGCATATATTTCCGGGTATTGAGACATTTCGTGAAAATTTGGTTTAAAAAATATCGTTTGGATGATTGTGATGATGGAAATGAGTTAGAGTGCAAAGGGGCGCATCAGTCGCGTGGATATATGGCGGATGGTCACATGAGAGTCAGGCATCAAGGCATCTTCCTGTGTTGCCGCGGTGTTCTAAACACCAGCGTAGAAGATTTAGTCATTTCTATTGATGTCAGTTAATTCATTTTATTGTCCTGTCTGAGTCTATGACTATGTAGGACATGCAGGTCCTCTCTGCCTACAGGCCAAGGATACCTATACCAGTAGTATATCCCCTTCTATGCCTCCCATACAACTTCCCTTAAAAAGTACCACCCCTCACAAGTCCTCATTCAATCATACACTCAGAGGAGCCCTTTGCCCTTCATTATCTCCCCTCTTCAGCCCACGAAACGATGGCCATTTGCGGGTAAATGGTAGCAGGGAAAAATCGCAAAAACCACTGGGTGAGGAGCTTTCCTAATACCGAAATTAGGAATAAATCCGAAGACATAATGACCCTTCTGAAGCGTTCGAAGAGGCCGGCTAGCTGGGCGCTGCAGACATGTGGGTACCTCGGGAAATTCACCCTCTGCCTTTCTAGCCTCCTTCCAACTCCTTCCCGAAGGTCGTGCTGAAATTTCAGAAAAGTCTTGATAGAGCGTGATTGCTGTAAAGTAGCTTAGCCTAACTTCTTTTGTACCGTCCAGGGCGCTGGCGAGTGCCGTTGACTCGTCGACAAAAGAAGCCCTCCTGGCTAATAAGCCGAAATCTTGGTCTTGGCGCCCACAAATGTTCCAAAGTTGAAAACTCCTCGAAAATGTCAGTCCCGGCATGGTCTTCAGAGACCACTTTCCCCTCTCGCTCCACATCTCAGCCGCCTGTCCTTCCTCAAAATGTATAACCCCGTTAGAGCAACAGTCTCCCATAAACCAAGACCCCAACTTTGTATATTATGACTTAATTTCCTCCTTGCAGGTATACGTAGCGTCGTAAATTTGTAGAGAGTGATGGCCGGTGATGAATGAGGCAAGCTCCTGTTTGCAATTGGGGTGACGCCTTTATCGGTCGGCGAGGCGAGTTGATATGTGGTTAGATCGGGGTTGAGGACTCAGAAGATAATGATGAGTGCTGCATGGTTGAGAAGTCGTCAAATGGAGATATACATGTGTTTGCTTTCGACTTCGATTCGGATGCGATTCTTCTTGGCTATCCCAGATATGCAGAGCATACTGAGCGATTACACCGGCACCACTGGAAGGTGAAGAATTCGTCTTTGCCGGCTCTTTTTTTTTTTTTGGCATCAGATTTTAATTGCGTATGCAGCTATCTAGCTATGACACAATATCAGAGAAAAGTACAGAAAAGATGACTCAGTTTATAATAGGAGCACTCATGCCTCGGATTTCATTTGCAAGTACCACTGCGAAGTTATGGTGGCTTTTTCTTCACCCCAAGTCAATCCTCATCCGTGAATACCCACCCAGGGGAACGTCTCAAAAACCCTGAGTTATCCAGACATGCCTCTGTCATCCATCAACTTTTCTCCGCGCGAAATGTAATCTGAGATGTCTCCTTCCCAAGTGGAGTAGGTGCCCAGGCTACTCAAACTATACCAGAGAACACCGCCAGGAGGCGGATCACAACACCTTCTGTGGGAGTTTTCTCGAAAACGTTCTCAGTAAACCTTTTCCCAAAACCTTTCTCAAAACTTTCTCCTATCATCTTTTCCTGAGAACCTTCCCCTTGAAACCTCTTCAAGGATGCCTGGCCATAACAAATCGCATCCAAATCAAAGTCGAAAGCAAACACATGCATATCTCCATTTGACGACTTCTCAATCATGTAGAACTCATCATTATCTTCTGAGTCCTCAACCCCAATCTAACCACATATCAACTCGCCTCGCCGACCGATAAAGGCGTCACCCCAATTGCAAACAGGAGCTTGTCTCATTTATTACCGGCCATCACTCACTACGAATTTACGACGCTTCGTGTCAAGGTATGGGTACGTGGAAGATTGACGAGGTCAAATCTGGTGAATGAGATTGTCTACAAGGAGGAAAGGTGGTCCACCTGAGGCTAGAGAGTAACTATATACAGACGCGTTTGCGCTCTACGCGATTCCCTAATCACACGTGACCCTATCTAAATGTAGCAATACCCTAACATATGGTCCCACCTTACTCCCGTCTCGGGGCACCTCACGAATTATTGAGAGGTATCAGAGAAGTGGACTTGGTTGCTAGATTGCGTGCTCTTTCAATCTCAGAACTACTCGGCTTTATCTTGTGAGGAAAGCGTCGTTCGAACTCCTTTATCGAGGCACTCGCATTTACAACGTTCTTGAGTGGTTCCCATGTCTGATTTTCTGAATCATAGCCTCTCCAGAGTATCAGATACTGAAAGTTTTTTTTATTTTTACCACGTTTTGAGTCAAGTATGGCTTCGATAGCGTACAGCTTTTCCCCAGATTCGTCGAGTGCAATTGGTGGAGGTGGAGGATTTACCTGGCCTGGTAACGGGTTTGTGGGCGCTGGTCTCAAGAGGCTTGTGTGAAAAACATTGTGTAATTTTTCATATTCAAATGGGAGCTGTAACTTGTAGGCGTGGGAGTTAATTATCTTAATCACCCGAAATGGTCCGATGAATTTGCAGTCGAGTTTCTCAATTGGTCGGGAAGTAGTAATATTACGAGTGTCAAGAAAGACTTCGTCGCCAACTCGGTATGCTGGTGCAGGCGAGCGATTTGATACTGAAGCATTCTCCTGCTTATCTCTGGCGCATGTAAGATTGGATCGTAGTATTTCGAGAATCTCAGCCATTTTGGAGGCAAAGTCATTTCCAGCAGTGATTTGTTTACGAAGGCTTTTTGAAGAGCTTCTGAGGATTTCCCGTGGGGGTCCAAAACTCATTCGTGGGTGGAACCCCTTATTTGCAAAAAACGGTGTCACTTGTGTAGAAGTATTGACTGCGTTGTTGGCTGCAAACTCAGCCATAGGTAGCCAGTCGTAAATATCCTCTTGCGAGTAATCAATATATAGCCTCAGGTATTGCTCCATAAACGCATTAGCACTCTCTGTCTGGCCATCTGTCTCCGGATGGTAGGATGTAGATAGCGAAACTTTTATTTGGAGGCAATTACAGACTGCTCTCCAAAACTCAGCTACAAAAATTGGGCCTCTGTCGGACACAATTGAGTCGCATAAGCCATGGAGTCGCCAGACATCGCGAACAAATATTTTAGCTAGCTCCTCTGCTTTCATCTTAGTATGGCAAGGTATGTAGTGTCGCTCCTTAGTGAGGCGGTCAACCACAACCATTATTCAATTGAAATTTTTAAATTCTGCCAATGGACCAACAAAATCTACTGACAGGTCGCGCCATCTTTGATCTGGGAGAGGGAGAGGTTTTAGAGCTCCTTGATACTTTAAACGAGAAACTTTATTTCTCAAACAATTGTGGCAGTTTTTCACAAATCGTTCTACTTGTTGGGAGAGGCGTGGCCACCAGTAGTGAGTTGATATAGTGTGGTATAGAGCATTCTTTCCAGGGTGGCCCTTTTCGCAGCTGTTGTGAGCGGTCTGTATAAGTAGGAGCCTCAGTTCGTTGTCAGGCACATAGAGTCTATCTCGGAAATAAAGACGGCCGCTGCGAACCTCACATTCAGAGAGTGAGATGTCTTTTGAGTGAGGAACTCCATTGGATTTGGTTAGTTCTGCGATTATTTTTGTTAGCCATTTGTCCGCTTTACTCTTGTAACCTTGGTCAAATAAGTTGGCAATCTTTTGATCTAGTGGTACTTCAGAATTTTCCACAAGTGTACTTGATGATAGATTTGGGACCGTGTTAGAGATGAGTTTAGGCCGATTCTCTGTATCATTTAAAACTTCTACAACAGACTCATGGAGGTTTTCAGGGGTAAGGAGAGTTTGCCTTTGGTACTGTATTCGGGGGTCAGAGTTGTTACTTGGGATGTCTTGAGAGCGTCGGGTCAAACTATCTGCTTTTGTGTTATCTTTTCCCGATCGAGGCATGATGATAAAGTTGAATTGGGATAGAAATTCACTCCATCGAACTTGACGTCTAGAAAGCTCCTTTGTAGTCATGAAGTACTGGAGGTTGTGGTGGTCTGTTAGGACGGTTATCGGGTAATTGGAGCCCTGGAGTTCGGCCCTCCACCCTTCAAAGCATCTAACAATTGCTAGAAGCTCCTTATCATAGATCTCGTAATTGCATTCTGCGGTCTCAAGTTTCTTTGACATGAAGGCGACTGGATGTAGGTCACCGGTATTATCCTTTTGAGACAAAATTCCTGCAGAGACGAAATCAGATGAGTCTGCTTCCACAAATATTTCCTTTGAGGGGTCAAAGTGGCGCAAGACTGGGGCGGAAATAAAAGATCTCTGGAGAGACTCAAATGCTTTCTGGCATGTATCAGACCAGAAGAAGCTAATATCTTTCCGCGTGAGTGATACGAGGGGTCTGACAATCTTTGAAAAATTTCTGATAAATCGCCTGTAGAAGTTGGCAAATCCTAAAAAGCCTTGAACATCTTTAAGGCACGAGGGGGGTCTCCAATCAACGATACATTGCACTTTTTGTGGATCCATCTTTACACCTGTGGTGGAGATTATCATACCCAGGTATGTTACTTCTTGAACTTCGAATTCGCATTTCTTAATGTCGCAGTGTAGTCCGGCTTTACCTAGAGCATCAAGCACCATATTGACATGCGATCGATGCGAGAGTCGGTCCTCAGAATAGATTAGGATATCATCAATGTAAGCAGTGCAAAAAATGTCGAGAAACGGGCGTAATACTTCGTTGATACGAGCTTGGAACGTAGCCGGCGCGTTGGATAGGCCAAAAGGCATCACTAGCGTTTCAAATAGGCCATATCTTGTATTAAATGCCGTCATCCACTCCTGGCCCTCTGAAATTCTGATGTGGTTAAAAGCCGCAATGATATCTAGCTTTGTGTAGTACTTGGCATTG